GATTCCGTCGCAGAAGCGCTCATCGAGAACAAGGACGTTGGGGCTGTCGGACTTGTCCAATGATCTGCCTGAGTCTATAGAAGGCGGCTTAGGGGTTTCGCGGTTCAGGGTTTAGGGCTATCTACCGTATGGGAGTCTCTATGGGGATTACAGAGCTGGTTGGCTGTTTGTCGTTTTACCGTTGCCTTCTTCGTCACATGATGTGACAGTGGCATTAGGTTTGAGAGTTGTGTGGACATCTTTCCATCGAACAAGCAGGAAGGTGAGAATGTTTCTGGTGTGAGGAAAGTGTCCTTTCATGATCATGGGCCTAACAGAAACCTGCATATTTGGTATTACTGCTCCACAGCACTGCACAGTCCTTAAAATGCTGAACCGTAAACGTCGTAAGTGTATCCACAGGAGACGAAGAAGCTGGCGCGGGCGAGGACAACGAAGGAAAAACTCCAAGATCTCGTGCCACAAGCGTCTCTGAAGGCATTTGGTCATTATTACTCTATCTTTACTGTCATTCTTGCTATTCCTGAAGATATTCGTAGTGATCTTCGTTTAGGGTTTGGGGTCTTGAATCTTGGGGATGTGGGCTTTAAGACTTAAGGGTTTCGAATCGCAGCCCGCTCTCCTCGGTACGTCCATACGTCCACCGTTTGAAGAGAGTGGGCTGAGGGCCTAACATAGGGGCTTAAATAAGTACCTATACTATTTGGGGGTTCTTTGTTATATTCATAGCAAAAAATGGTCCCCAAAACCCTATTGTAATTATTCAGGCCCCTACATTAGGGCTTAGCGACCAGGCCCTAACCATGCGTCGACTGGGTTTTAGGGTTCAGGCCTTCGGTGGCACCAGCTAATCGCAGCATGATGGCGGTACTTGCAAGGTCAAGGCCACACTTAAGACTTGAGGCAGCCGTTCGGAGATTGCTACATCTCCAATTTATGTTGGATGGTGGTGTCCGGTCCTTATTGGGTGACTGAACGACTTGGGAAAACGCCACCGGGATTTTGAAAAGTACTCTGGGGCCCAAGCGCCCTTTGCTTCGGCTAACACAAGAAGAGACCAGAAACCCGAGCCCTAGGGTTTAGGGTTTAGGGTTTAGGATTTAGGGTTTAGGATTTAGGGTTTAGGGTTTAGGGTTTAGGATTTAGGGTTTAGGGTTTAGGGTTTAGGGGGAGCCCCCAAGTTTAGGGTCGGATTGTTTGGAGCACTCGGAAAGATTGTCTCCGTGTCACTCGACTAAACACTCGGGCAGCTACCGTCGCCTAGCATTTGCCAGTACTCAGTAGCAATATGGAGGTCGCAAAAAGTTAGTAAAAATGGCGCTTGAGTTCCTCGTTAGAGATGTACAGTCCGTCCCAAGACTTTAGTCTAATTCAATCTAGATCCTAAAGCTTCCGGCGGCCACCCTACAAGTCTTCGCATTGCTCTTCTGGCTTTGCTCACCAGCTCTCTTGCTGCGACGATTGCTTTTTTCCCTGACCCTCCTAAGTGCTTCATATATAAGGCTTTTGCTCCTAAATACTTATATGGGAAAACCATTGGGTCAAAGCCTTATCTGGGGAATAACGCTGAATATCGCGCCATGCTCTTGCGACAATGCACACCACATCTTGCGACAATAAAGCTTGGAACTGCTCGGATTTTCCACTCGACTCATGCCGGCCGTTCGCACAGATCCCCGGAGTACATACCGCCAGGAGACACAAATTACGAATTTGCAGTTGCCGCTCCGGAAACACACTATGCATCTTCAGCATCAGACGAAGCTTCAAAGCCTTCCTGGGCTTTGTACTCGAGCCTCGGATGTTATACATAGCAGAATCCCCGCAAGAACAACCGAACTTGCAAATCGCATCGGATGGCGTGTTACAGACGATTGTAATGCAAGTGGGTAGCCAAGAGAAGTATCTTCGAAGTGTGGCAATCTCGAGGTTCTGCACACTGACACTTTTGGCTACACCTCAGCACGGTGCACCGAGTCATAATATTGCGATCAAACTCACCGACTCACCATCTATGAAAAGGCAAGTTGCGCACAACACGGCCATTCAGGTCTTCATCGGAGAATGTATGATACATTCGGAAGTTGATTCCTTAGCATGGGCCCGGGGTTCATGGGCTGAAGACATGCCTGTGCTATAGTGCAGCTCATGGACGGTCCCTCTGCACCCATCGCCCCAGCTCTTGCACTGCCTGAGCTGTGGGATTGTACCGTGATTGATTGTTCCACTAAACTGTATACCCTGAAATCCTTTCGGAACTGAGTCACATGTAGCTTCGGCTTCAGCGGAAATACCAGGCGACCAGCCACCAAGCCTCCCCGCGCCAGATGTGCATATGCTCTGGTGGAGCGATCCTGGGATTTCGAGAACCATGTATTACCGCATTAAAACCACAGCAGTTAGTTCGAATATTGAACCACCTATGCAAACCGCAACACCTGTGTTCATTGTGGACCTCTGGGCTTCGGAGTTTTGTTTTTAAGCAGGGCTGTTAATGTTGAGGCTATTAGGCAGGGAGCATTTGGGTATTCATAAATTTAAGCCTTATATGTTTGGTTCTGGATTAGGGCTTCGGCCATACTAGGGGCAGGGTGTGGGATTGTGATATTATGTCGAATCTGTGAGCAGCTACGGGCTTGGGGGGTTCGTGAACAACTCCTTTGGGTTTTTTTTTGTTGGTCTCTGCTATATATTGCCTTGAGGAACATCCAAGGGTTGGGCTTGTTAGGGTTTTCTAAGTTATGTCAGGTTTTCGGTTGGCAGGTTCTGGTAGAGGTTTTCGAATCTCCTACAGTATAAACATTGCAATATAAAGCTAGCTGTCAGGCCGGGTATTTTTATTCAAATTTACACGGATTACTCCTCTGAGCTCGAAGCTTAGGGCTTGGGGGTTCGTAGCATCGAACTTTGAGTCCTTATAAGAAGGGCTTGGAGCTTGGGTGTGTCAGATTTCGTGCGTCGGACCTTCACATAATATAAGCTGCTGAGCTTACAAATTTCCAATATTGTAATCGAACTGATCAGGCTGAGACGGTGATGAGTATGAGATAGTAACCAGGTGTTCTCGTGCAGGTGATGGATCAAGATTCAAAGCCGATCTAGATGCACTAGCTTCGGTTCTAGATACACTAGCTTCGGTTCCCCCGGAAACTGCCACTCGACCCAGAATGCTAGCCGTAACATCTGTTTGGGAGGGGTATATTAAGCTAAGCTAAGCTTCCTAGCCTACATGTGAACGATCGATAGGCCTGAGCTCGAGCAAGACCTTTAAACTCGCGAACAGCTGACCTGTATATATATATATATATATAGCAACATAAGATTAATATCACAGAAACACCTGCCCTACACCCCTCAGCCTTCGGCCCATCCTGCAAAACTGCAGCTCAGCTACGATGAGCTGCTGGATCCTTTCGGCCGTCTCCGCGCTCAAGTAGCGTGGAGAGCGCTCAACAACATTCATCAACTCCGCAAGGTTGTACCTGAATGTGTAGGTCTAGATAGAGTATCGATCGGGAGATAAGAGCTTATACGGATTTAATATATATAGTTTCAAGTACCACTAATCAGTATAATCTAGTAGAGCAGACCAGGCACACGCAAGCCGACACCAATCGAAATTGCCGATCACTGGGCCGCTGCAGCATGACTTGCTGGCACACATCCGAAAGCCAAGCAATGATACACCGGGCCTTAGATGTAGCTTGATAGATACTTAATTGTATTGGGGATGAGGAGCTCTAGCTTATACTGGTGTAGATAATACTATGCTGGCTAGGGTCATTGTATCCCTTCGCTGCCATGGCATGGTAATCCTCGCCACCACGGAAGAAGTTTGTCTTGAATGGTGGTTGGCTGTGCCTTAGATCAGACTATAACTGGAGTTAGCGAGGCACCTAGCTACCACATGATGTCCTCCAAATAATAATTTCCGAAGGAAGTTAAGCAGCTGGATACCCCGAGCCCTTGCCCATGAAGTGAAATCTTGGTAGGCTCTCATCAATCGCTGCGCCAACGGTTCATCTTTGCTGCCCCAGACTGGGATATCATCCTGATTCGGGTGAAGGACCTAAACCTAAAAAGACAAACCCTGAACCCCTATAGTATAATCCCTCTATGCCCTAGCCCCAGACCGCTCAACCTCCTAAACCAAACCCCCCCTAGGCCTAAAGTGCAATTCATCACCAACGATCCTGCTCCAGCAAAAACTCCATAGTTGACGCACCGACCCAGCCCATGTATCCCAAGTTCAGACAGTGCAAACTGCACCATCGAATGAGCTGGTGATGGAACCCATATATCCACGTGATAGCACCTGGGTCCCCAATACAACATATGTTCGATCAGGCTTGGATTAATATTGTTTGATCCTGCACCAAGCTGAGGATTGGACTTCGGTGCCCATGGGAGTCTGGTCTGAGGCAATCCATGAAGCTTTGAGGATCTCGTTCAGGAAGGGATAGAAGTGGCGAGGGAAACTGAAGGTAGTTCTTGTTGGTCATATGACATTGAAAGCAGATTTGTCTGCATTGCCAGCCAACTGACATGTTCATCCAGGCCTCCGGTATTGCAATTAAGTCCCACGACACTATTTATTTGGAAGACCAGGATATGAGCCGTAGCTGTATAGCAATAGTAGAATCTACATCCCAAAGCTGCAAACATGAACCTTGATGAACTTCCAGTCACCCCGCAACTCTGCAAGGGTTGCGATGACTGGCTCACCATCGCCACCGATGGAGGCCAAGGGTTCATCGGTCAGATTCGGAAAAACCTCGTCCCTCCAAATATCCTCCCCGAACTTGTCCAACATATGCAGAGGCTTTGCAGGGCATTTCCCATGGAACAGGAGGTTCATCGACATAGCAATCTCAGCTTGGTGCTTTCAGATCGGGTTCATGAATAAAATACTCGGATCTCTGGTTGAACATGTATTGACCTTATATGTTTCAGATAAGTCACAGGCTCCATGTAAGCCTGGATGGTGTCGTAGCCACAACTCAATGCCTCAGCTTTGTATATCCAGGGATCTCTAGCCAGCAGCTTGCCATAACATATAGCTTTATTTGGGGAGTGTGCAAACAAGTAGCATCACGTAGCACAAACAATGGCCATCTAGAGGACATTGAATGAGTTTCCGGCGATAAGATGTCACTCAGGGTCACAATCACAAGTTTCTCCGCTTGCTGGTTGTACTGAGCATCGTCACCATACAGGCCCATGGGCCGGTGGGCTTTGCGCCCGATGGCTGGATGGGCCTGGCCCCATTCAACCCCGGTAGCTTCAGCATGCTCCCAAAACTCCCGGATATTCACATCTGGAAGCAATCCCTTCTTGGCCAGCTCCGGCACCAACTCATGTGGTAGCACTACTGGCATTTTCCTGCCAAGGTCTGACGATAGTATTGGCGTACAAATATTGATCATGCTGGCTAGCGCTATAGTGCAGCTCAGTGTCCTGACAACCACACGGTCATCCCTCATAGATTTTCGCACCGGCACATCGATGTAGCGGATCGGAACCTGGGCGAATTGATCATACTACATTGGCCTTTAAGTTGTCATGAATTCGGAAACCGGTCAAACTGCAAACTAGATACGGTGCAAGGGTATCGGCGAAGCAAGTCCCGTTGGGCATTCTTGGCATGTCGGATTCCTGCGGCAGAAAGAGCACCTCCCCTGATGTCATCGATGCCATACGTGACCTTCAGCTCCTGGACAGGACGTGGCATGGCATACTGGCACTACATCTGGCACTGCATGCTCTAGCTGATCTCCTTCTTCATCACCTGCGCCACCTTGCGGATTTTGGTGTAGCTGAGGTCCTAGGCTTGAGAAGCATTGCAAAGGCAACACCTTTATGGAACCCTTGCATTAACTAATCGTGTTTAGTGTCTCCGCGACCAGCTTCTTGAAGCAGAAAGTTCATCATAGGCCCCGGGGTGTTCCGACGCGGCAGACCTGCGATATGGGATCAAATACAGATAGCAAGATTGGGGTTTGAAGCAACTTCCCACACATGTCCAGATTCCTGATCTGTCGGGTGCATACAGGGACCGGATCTTTTTTGCCCCCTAGAGCTGCACACTTCAGCCAGCCATCGGAACGAGGATGAACGTTCAATCTAAAGTTCAGATCAGCACGTGCGGAGAAGATGCACATGTTCGTCCACACATACGTGCATCGTAAAAGAAGCACATATGCAATATGGAATACCCGTCGTTGGCAAGGATCACGTACAGCACTCACAGCGACACTTCAGTATTGTACAATTTGGATTGACGAGCTTAACATATACGAGTATGATATACGAGTATCATGCAAGCACTGCACACCCTGCCCTAGAACCCCGGATCAAAACTAAAAGCCATCAAAAGCTCCCTTGCAAATCAGGAGCATGGCTGGGAAACTGGTGCTCACTTCTTGCCCTTCTTCTGCACTCCCTTACTTGCAGCAGGCTTCTTTGGAGCTGCTTTGCGCTTGGCACCGGGCTTCTCCACCTGGGCTAATATTCGGCATAGGGGTCAGGGTTTAGGGAGGGTACAGTTGAAAGGCTTATTCAGCTTATACTAAAGTACAGGGCTTAGAGGGGTTGGGTTTAAAGGGTTGTGTGAGAAGTTACAATATTTTTAGGGATGAGGTGATGAAAGTTCAGTACAGGGTTTTTAGGGGTTGGGGTTTGGGGGATGCTGGGTTTAAACGGCTGGGCATTGGTGGCTTATGTAACTATTAATCTACTATGTACTTAGTCAAGTTCTGGTTTCGAGTTATAGGGTTGAGGGTTGGGGCTTCAGTACTTAAATAAATGCGACGGCCAGGGCCTGTCCTGGTTTTGGGGTTCAGATTTAACATATAGTGAACATATAGCCTGGGTTTGGAAATTTTTTGAAGATAATCGAAATTCACTGTAATTCACACGACTGGGCACTAGCTGCGGCTTGATTGTCTTGAATGCACCCTTCGTCAAGGCATTCACAGAACTGCTAGCTTCATCGATCTGCAGCTGCATTTTGCTGTCATCCTTGGACTCCACAGCCTCCGAAAGGGCCTTGTGATGTGCATCTAGCTTCTCAGAGTGCGCCTTCAGCTCATTCGTGAATCCAGCCCGTAGATGCTCAGACCTCGATCAGTATGCAATTTTAGGTCAACCACATGAGTGTGCAGCTCCCAGACAGACTGTACAAGATGCAACCCAGAATTAGTCTAGGAACAATCGTGTGGATTTCTCCACCTCAACGACCAAAGCTTGGCATTCTTTCTGCTTCGCCTCGATGTCTTGCTGCTTGCTTCGAGCCAAGGCATCGATCGACTTCGGCTTCGGGGCTGGCTTGCGGAGGTCCAACTTCTCTGTATCATCGTGCTTCTTCGGCAGCACTGAGAAGCCTACTCCTCCGGCAGCATCGGGGCCCGAAACACAGGCCGACCTCGGAGATTGTCATTGTAGACTCAGAGTAGATTCGTAACCAATAGAGCCCAATAGGTAGCTGCTGGTAGCTTTATACGGCTGGGAGCTTGCATACTAGGTTGCAAGCTGCTACTAATATAAGTTCGTCTAGAGTATGCAACAGACTATGTAAAATGAAGCCCCGCCACATCATCTCCTTGGTTTGGGATCCATCAAGTAGCACGGCGGCGCTGAGCTCTTGCTCACGCTCCTCCACGGAACGCTGCTGGAAGCTTGTCGACTTCCACACCCGGATAAGCTCCCACTCCTCGAATGTAGCACGATTACATGCTATGCATCATCACTTGTGTGGTTGCTGCGGCATGCACCACACATGCTATGCATCATCACTCATGTGACTGCTGCTGCGATTGCTGTACGACAAGGCACTTCATCCCCAGGCATATCAGGATGATCCATAACAAATGGAGGGTCTCCACGCTTGGCCTTGGCCTGAAGTTGCCTCTTCTGGTGCCGCATTTGTTTTGCGACCTTCAATCCATGCGCATCCTTCAGCTCTTTGAAAGGCACCATGACCTCCTCTCCAAGAGCTTGTGTCGACGAAGACTGCTTCAATCGGATCACTAGTGAGCTCTCAAGCCAGTCTCCCTGACTTTGCAAATATTCGTCGAAGAGGCCATTGAGCACCGCAGAATCTCAGGTACGTATAGCTAGCAGGAATGCAGTCAGAAGGGGGACCATGTAGTTATATTGGATATCATAACCAGGCCCCCACAATACCCCTAGGCTCTAATAATAACCCTATCTCTTATTCCATATAAGTCCGAACCGCTAAGATTCCGCCAGAGCACTGCGCTTGTTCTGCAAAGCCATCTTGGTGATCTCCGGTGGGCAACTGGCACCTCAAATTCAGTGGGTTTGGGTGTTTTGTTTTTTTAGGGTTAGGGGATTAGGGTTTGAGGTTTAGTGTTCAAGGTTTAGGGGGGACCCTAAACCCTACCCAGAACCCCACATGTGATGTAAGGCATCTGAAATGACACAGGCTTCGAGGAAACGTACACATCAGAATCGTCCTATTGAGCTTATGTACATGAGTGCAGCAGGGTCGCTACGAACCGAGCGGTAAAACCTCATGTAGCGGTTGTGTGCGAGTCGCAACTCCCTCTCCTCCTCTGTCTCGTCACGCTCCTCCAGAGCTCTGGCCTGAGATTAGTCGAGGTAAAGCTAGGTTCAAATGCGAGATAGATATATGATATATATATATATATGACTAAGACTAAACTGATGAATGCAATTTAGAAGTAATTATTGGCAAGTCACTTCCAGCTCGATTGTGGTTTTCCGATTCAATGCTGCCTGTATTGCACTGCGCGGTTTCCCCTTTGGGTCTGCAGCAGATACCACCTGCTGGCCATGGGTAACATCCTTCGGCACCTCCTCCTGATCCTTAGACGTAGTAACATCCTTCGGCACCTCCTCCTGATCCTTAGACGTAGTAACATCCTCCGGCACCTCGAGCTCCTGATCCTGAGCCGTAGTAACATCCTTCGGCACCTCCTCCTGAGGTTTTGGAACATCCACATCACCATCGTCATCATCGATAACGACAGGCCCGAAGATGGGCTCGTCAAGGTCTGGCTGCTTTTCGGATCGCGGGGGCACACAAATGAAGTTCTCAACCTGTGCAAGCCACACCCTCTTATTATACCCTCTAGGCCCCCTATATATATTGCAGTACTATATGCAAAAACAGTATGCACATAATGTTGGATGCAGATCTAGACCTTGCATGGCACAGCAGGCGCAGGGGTTTCCACAGGCTCTGGTGCCGAGAGGAAGGCTGAGAACTCCTCCTCAAAAGCCTGCATGTCAAACTCCGGTGCATCCTCCACACCACTCGTTGATGCAGGCTCAGGCTCCAGCAGGGGAGTCATGGTCAGCTGCTGGAAGTGAAGCACCGCATCCACACACACCAGCTGCTTAGCACACTTGTCGGCCACCCTGGCATTCATAGCACTCTGCAAAGCAACCACGGAAGCCTGCAGCTTCTCTTGCACACAAGCTCGCTTTTGATCACACTGCTCCTTTGAGAGTTTACCCTTCTCACAAAGCAGTTCAAGCTGCTTCATGAAAGCATCACCTTTCTTCTTTTCAGTCTCAACTTGCAGGAGCCGAGCACTCTCATGCTGAAGCACTGTGGTTGTTGCAGCTGCAGCATCATGATAAGACAAGAGTAGCTGCTGCAGGGCTTCATCGAACGCATCGGGAGTACTGCCGGTGTTGGGCTCCAAACCATAGAGCTTTCTGAAACCCGCAGGATCATGAGGTTCCGTAGGCCCCGGGAGGACTTTGCCAAGCTCGGCTAGCCACTCCTCTGTAAGTCCTGCTGGCAGGTCCAGCATGCGCCCTGGACCCAGCAAGGCTGGGTCATCGAACATCATCACACGGACTGTGTCTCGGACAGTCCACGTGTCTGGCGCTGCATCTGCTGCCTCGTAATTGGCTTGGCTATCCTCCATGGTTGCAGACCGTGGCAAAGTTGATCGGGTATCCATGGTACGTAGGGTATCACCTGGACTACACCATATGAGGTCTAGCTACAGGTGTAGGGGTTCAGGGGCTTCAGCATTTGGGCTTTTAGGGGTTGAGGGATTTGAGAGAGAGAGAGAGAGAGAGAGAGAGAGAGAGATAGAGATAGAGATAGAGAGAGATAGAGATAGAGAGAGAGAGAGATAGAGAGAGAGATAGAGAGATAGAGAGAGAGAGAGAGAGAGAGAGAGAGAGAGGAGAGAGAGGAGAGAGAGAGAGAGAGATAGACATATAGTGAGGGATAATGGATTTCGGCTAGGGCCCAGGCGCTTATCCTACCTCGAACCCTCGAACCGATTTCTATTTCGAGCTTGATATTTAGATCTAGATGAACACCCAAATCATCGTAAACTTAGCTGGCCAGCCTTCACGAAGGGCAGCAGGCATCGGAAAAGCCGAAGATTTCGCAGGTGTAGGTGCTGCTGGCGCCTCGACAAGTATGCAGCTGCTACATCGTCAGATAACTACACCTACTGTACTCCTCTATGTA